ATGGGGAAAAACTGAAATCTTTTACTCTTAGATCTGGTACAAGACAAGGATGTCCTCTATCACCACTCCTACTCAATATAGTTCTGGAATCATTACCAATTAAAAAATAAGCAAAGGAGATGATCAAGTAATTCATAGCATAAAACACGGAATACGTTTCTTATCTCTAGTAATCCAGAGTAATTCTCACACTTCACGTTAGCAACACTTAACAGCTGAAGGTGTGAAATCTTGATAAGACTGTTCAGCCAAGAGCCCGCTCTTGCTGCGGGAGAGGGCACACAGGCACGCTTCCTGTGGAGAGCAACACACCCAGTCTATTGGCAAAGCAGGTGGCGTTCGCTGGTCACCAGTGTCACAAGGTGACCACTGGATCGGCGCTTGTCACTCAGAACAAATGGAAACACTTCAAAGATCCATGCAAATGACTACAGACAAATAAACGGTGTTACAACGATGCAATGGGAAACGACAGCTAAAGCTAATGAAACAGAACTACCTGGATCAATGGGAATGCATCTCAATGTCATGTTGGGCCACAAAAAACTGCAGATGTGTGCATAAAACATGCTGTTAGAAGTACACAAAACCATGCTGTCTATTTTTACAGACACTCACAGATATGATAAAAGGTTAGGGAAATGAGTAGGAATTACAAGAGGTAAATGCAGGCGTTTAGCTCTGGTGGGGGTGGGCAGGGAAAGAGACCTGATTGGACAGGGTCACCAGGGAAGGACAATGCTTTGTCCTTTCTGAACCCTGAACTAATTCATAATAAAAGAGATTATTCATCCAACAAATCCACTTATTGAGCACTGACTATATGGCCAGTACTGTGCTGGGTTCCTGAAGACAAGAAGAAGGATGCCACTGGTCCTGCTACTTGGTGTCCAAGGTCCCTGCCCTCAGAACTCTTCCTGCCTCAGTACCCACTCTCTCAGTGCAGCCCAGAAAGGGGAGGAGGCAGCTGCACCCCAGCTCCAACTCCAGAAGAAGTGTCTCATCTGGAATTGACCTCAGGAAGAACTTTTCCACTGAGGTTATCAAGTTCCAAAGAGAGCAGAATCCCTAATCGCTGAATCTTTTCTAAATTCATACTGAAGTTCCCTAAGTCACATCTACTCACTGAAGAGGCCCCCAAGTTTCCACCCATTGGTGAAGCAGGCTAGGGAGGGGGCTCATTTTTACAGTACCTGTGCCCCTGGGCACACAGCAGAGTCCCCTGGTACATAGCACTATGTCCTGTCTTCCACCTCCCTCCTGGGTTTTGGAAAGAAGGACCTGCCACGCCGTCATGTTGGCTTGGGGCTCCCTCCTCTTCCTGTACAGTGAGTGGGAAGCAGCCCCCTGCTGGCTGCAGACTGCCTTACCTGAAGCTGAGGAGGATGGCAGAGGCGATGACCAGGGCGGAGAAGGACAGCGCGTAGCCCACTGTGTAGATGACGTAGAGGGACAGGAGCTGCTCCTCTGGGGAGCTCTGTGTGCATACAGGGACACAGTGTGTGCATGGCACCCCCCAACCACAGCCCTCTCTTCCCCACATTCTTCTTTCCTGGGTCCAGGGACCAGGGTGGGGCCCCAAGGCAGATGGAGCTGGGGATTCTAGACCCAAGAAAGGTAAGGATGTCTGGAGATGGTCCTAGGACTTTTGGGGTCCAGTTTAAGGCCAGAGCAGTGAACATGCACCATGTCCAGACAGCATAGAGTGCGAATCAAGAGGCAGGGGCTGGATGAGACCCCCACAGCCAGCCCATAGCACAAAGACCCCGCCGCCCTCAGTTCCCACTCTACTCACTTTCTTCCCACGCTTGGACTCCTCACACTCGGACAGGTCCCTCCAGGGCAGGCTGGAGTTGCCCTGGTGCAGCCAGAGGCCCTCTGGGGTGCAGAACCGGTACACATGGCCCTGAAGCACTGGGTGGGAAGATGCGTGGCTGAGCCATGGCCCAGGATATGCAGTCGGCCCCATGCTGGAGCCCCTGTCCCTCTACAGTCTCATGGTCCCCCTTCCTCTCCCAGAAGTGACACTTAGTGACATGCTCGATCTCTCTACATGCATGCACACGCGCGCACGCGCGCACACACACACACACACAACCAGGATGGCCCAGGTATGGACAGGGGATTGTCACTCGGCTCTCCCTCTTGATTCTTTGGGGCTGCAGCTGGATGAACCCACATCTCTAAGATGAGGTCAGTTTAGTCCAGATCCAGCTTCACACTGCACTACTGACATGGCTGGAGTGGGCAGAATAACTCTGGCAGACCCATAGCCCCTCTGTATGAATCTTGGTGTTCCGGACTCAGCACCCATCTTCCTCTTGCACTCCTTGGGGGTGAATGGACCTTAACAAGAGATCTGGTACTGCAGAGCTGAGAGAAAGGGGGTGAGTTAGCTTCAACCTGGGGAACCTGGTCTGAGGAGAGATACAGACCTATCCTTGGGGAACCTCAGCCTGACAGAGATGTGGTAGTGTCCTCAGGGAACCCCATCCACGGGGAGCCCCAGTGTGAGGAGAAACAGCCCCATCCTCAGTGCTTTCCACGCTGAAGAGGACATGGCAGGGTCCTCAGGGACCCTCATCCACAGAGAACCCATCTGAGGGGAGACAGCCCCATCTTCAGGGAGTCTCGGTCTGAGAGAGACATGGTATTGTCCTTGGAAGCTCAGTCTGGAGGGAGAAAAGCCACTGCTGACAGAAACTCTGGTCTGAGGAAAGTGTAGTTTTGACCTCAGGAAGCCCTCACTGGAAGGGGACATAGCCCTGTCTGAGGGGAGTCCCCATTTGATAAGGAGACAGATTTCCTCTCAAAGACTATCTGTTCTGAAAGGAACACACAGTCTCATGGGGGTAGATATAGTCCTTGCCCTTAGAAATTCTCACCTTAAGGAGGAAAACCAAGTTTCTACCTCCAAGTAACTCCTAGTCACACACTGAAGGTAGAAACTGCCCTTGGAGACCTCCTAGCCTGAGAGAGGGAAGTCATCCAGCAGTGCTTCTGGGCCTCTGAAAACGGAACCAAGACTCTTGCAGAAAAACCAAAAAAGTCTTCAGAAAGGAGTTGCACAAACATAGCCCTAGAAGAGCTGGCCGCGGGACATCACCTGTGACCACTGTCATCCCACCTGAATGCCCAGCAGCTGTGGCAGTGTCCCTCCCTCTTGCCTGCCCAGGGAGATGGGTGGCTTTGGGCCCTGGGTTCCTGTGAGGCTGGGACAGTGCTTTCTAGAACATAAGTTGGGCATCAAGGCCAGGGCACAGGGGACAAAAGCATGAGGGGAGGTGGGGTTGGCCTAGCAGAGTCAAGGAGGGAAAGCGGAGGCCCAGAACACATTTTAAAATGATTTTAAATTCAAAAAGATGAAAAGGAATTTAAAGATTAGCTTCCTGGACTGTGATAGGAAAGGAGGATGGGGCCAGCAGAGGCCCTGGGTAGCCGTGGCTGCCCAGTGTCCAGATGGGGGAATTAGCAGTGAGAAGAGGCTCATGGCTGAGTACACGTTGGGGAGCTCCGGCAGCCCCTGTCATGGGCAGAGCACCCTTCTGGGGCAGTGGCTCTCAGTAACAGGCCCTGAGCCCCGGTCAGGCGGCAGGGCGACCTTTACCTTAGGGCCTGTGGTGCACTAGCGGGGCCTTGTCCTCCCCGTCACCCCAGTCACCCCACGCAGGAAGCCTCCTAACTCTTTCTCTCCTCCCTCCCTGTCCCTCCTTTCAGGAACAAGCCCTGAGCAAGGTCCGCCTCCAAAAGAAAGGAGTAATCCGGGCACACAGCAGGCCAACCAGCTTGCAGCATTACTTCCTCTGGACAAACCCTCCTTTTAAGACTTCTTCTGGAAGAGAGACCAAAACCTAAAAACCTAATGGTGGCGGAACTCTCGGTGGGGAACGGCACCCTGGAGTCACTAACAAGCCAGGCCCGCAGGAAGGCAGAGAAGAGGGGCTGACACACGTCTGACTGTAGCAAGCTGCAGGCCTCACTGCATGGAGCTTGACATTCTCTCCTGGGGGCAAGTCAAGTCCTCTGATGGGCAGCAAAATCAGGCTTTGATTGCAGATATGGAGACTTGGGCTGACTCCGTGGGGAATGAAACTGCTGTCAGAGCCTGGCCTGACAGCCCAGCTGGTGGCAGGAAGGCAGGAGAAGGCAGAGGGGCTGGGGGCCCCGGGGAGGGGAGACAGCACAGCCGCGGAGCCTCTGGCACGCGAGCCGTGGGCCCACAGCACTGTGGCTTCCCACAGCTGGCACTCGGCCTGGCATGAGACAGGCACGCTGCGATTGCGGGGCCTCTCGCTCTGGGTTGCACACATACCTGCTCTGTAGGCTGCACTGTCACTATATCTGTGGTTTGCACATCATAACATGTTATGAACTTGGTGCCGTTAACCCCATTTTACAGATGAAAAAGTAGAAACCCTAAGATGCGATGCAATTTGTTCAAGATCAGCCAGCTAGGAAACAGCACAGTGACGATCCCAACCCTACCTTTCACCTCCAGAGGCCAATTTAGCAGCCGGACTTGGTGCTAAATAAACAGTGACCATGTGTCATTTCTCCTCTGCCTTTCCTCAGGGCTTGGATTTCCCACCAGGCACCGCATCCCAGCAGGTCCCCTTGCCTGTGTGGCCCTTAGCAGCTGGCACCAGCCTGGGCCCTCTGCTCAGAGCCAGCTGGGGAGGTGGGTACAGATGTGCGTATTCCTGGCACAGAGCCAAGGGACTGCCATGCCCCCGAGAAGCTCAGGCAGCCCGCGCGGGTACGTCTGAACCAGCCAGGGCTGGTGCCCGGAGGAGCCCATGGTCCCCAGGCGCCCATCTTGGCCAGAGGTGGCCTGGATCCGGGCACAGCCCTGTTTATCAGAGCAGCTTTATCTGGGTTAGGAGGAGCTGGCCAATCACAGTCAGGGGCTTGGCTCCACTTGTCAATAAGAGGTGGCACTGGGCAGCCACATGCCAGGAGGCCTGGGGATATTTCATTAAGTCAGCCCCTGGTGCTGGAAATAAAACCCCCAATTAAACACTTCCCCTCCCGGAAACTGCCTCGGCGTCCGTAATCAAGCTAATAGCCGTCCTTCCGCGTGGACGCGGGCACTCAGGGCTGTGGAGAGCTGTTCATGAATCCATTAGCTGCCACACCGTGGCAACGGAGGTGGCAGTGGGACCTGCCGGGCACCACTGTACAGATAGCAGCACTAAGACTTGGAGTGTGCACCCGGTCCTACTGCAGTGGCAGGAAGGGACAAAGGCAGACTGGCAGTGAAGGCACCCACCCAGCTCAAAGTGAAGGGTAGGACACAGCATCAGCATCTAAAAGGAACAGTGGGGACTCAAGTTTGGATCCTGCCTCTGCCTTCAACTAGCCGTGGGCCCCTGCATGGCTTACTCTGTGTCCCAGGTCTCAGTTTCCTCATCTGTAAAAGGGGACTCTTCCCCAAGAGATAAAGCCTGGGGCACAGGAGGCTTTCAAAACCCAGCCGTGGTGGAGGCCCTGCACCCCCACCCCCTTTTACTGTGGCCAGAGCTGCTGCCAAGGATGTCACTCCAGCGGGAGCTCCTTGGGGCCCAGCTCAGGCCTCAGTCTCCCCTTGGCAACCCTGGGCTGCCATAAGCACTCCCGGGTTCAATATTAGTCAGGGGAGGCACCTGTCGGAGTTTCCAAATTGTGAATTATAGGCTATTTTAAAAGCTTTTTATGGCTCTCATATAATTAGAACTAAGCTAACAAACAGGTAGAAATCAGGAGAGGGGCAGCTAATGAGGCTGGAGTGATTTGTAACAAGTAGCTCAGCTGTCAGTGAGTAAATGAGGCTGTGGTGTCCCCTGGGGCACCCAAAGGGCCCTCGGAAGGCCCCTACCCTCCCTGCCCAGGCTGGTGTCCCTGGGTGCTTCCTGGGACCCCATGCTCCTGCCACTCACCTGCTCCTCCCACTTCTCTGCAACACCCTGGTCCTCACAGTTCCAGGGCTCAGAATTTCAGGGTGCTGCTGGCCTCCCTGAGACAGTGTGTAGCTCCAAGGCCTGAGTCCTGGCCCCGGGTCCAAGGTTCCACCTGGACATCACCCCTCCCTCCCTCCATGGACAGCCCTCCTCCTCCCTTCTGCAGCTGCCTGTTCTTCCAGGCCTGACCCTGATGTCACCCACTCCTGGTAGCCTTTCCAAGGTCACGCCTCAGGCCCACTATGACGCTGACCTCCTTCAGCACCTCCACTCCTGATGCCAGGGTCTGAGGGCACCCCAGCTCCTAGTGGAGACTCAGCTCAGGACTCTGGCAAATGTTTTGAATTTGATTCCTTCTCAGAACAGCCACTCTTTCGCCTAGCTCTGCACCCCAGAAGGCAGACCCTGGGGACAGCGTCTCTCGGGTTCCTGTCCTTTGCTGGTTTGGGGCAGTGGGCAGTACTCAGGTTGAAGACCCAGGCTGAGCCATTTCTCCCTGTTGCCTCCCTGCCAGATGCAGAGGTTCCAGCAGTGGACTCAATCTCTCTGTGGCCACGGTCCTGGGGTGACTTCTCAGGCCTGGGGCTGCTAACACTTTCTGGCATTGTGGCCTCCTTTAGGGACCCTGGCTCAGCCCCAGAAAGCCCCAGAACTGCCCCCCACCTGCTTCCACATGGCATGGATGGGCCACAGAGTCCCTAGTGCCCCATAGCCTCTGCCAAGGGGGGACCAGGTCGGAGATGGCGATTATTCCTTGGGAGCCCCTGGATGTCTCTGAGGTCCCTAACTCAGGGAGAGAGGAGGAAGGCTCAGTGATTCCGAGTGTCAGGAAAAGGAGTAAATTAGCCTGGAGAGGGGGAGGAGGAGAAGCTGGCAGGGGGCCTGCGCAGAGGCCGTTATCTTCATGGAGAAAGCAATAAAACCGTGTTCGCTCATAAACGGGCACCACCAGGACCTATTTCCTGCTCAAATAAAATTAAAGGTGATGGATGGAGCCGCAAGCAGCAGGCAGAGCTGGGGGCGCTTAGCGCTGAGTGATGGGCCCTGTCCCCTGTCTGGCTCCCTGGGGTCTAGAGGCCCAGCGGAGGCTGGCCAGGTGGCGGTCCCTAGTCTGTGAGAGGCAGGGCAGGTGTGTGCACATGATGGAGGGTGGAGGCACGCAGGGTAGGAGGGAAGCGTGGACAGTTATCTTCTCTCATGGAACTACAACCTCCCCACCTTACAGCGCAGTCCCAGCTCCCCAGGGACACAGAGAGGGCTGCAAAGGTCTCTTGCTCACACAGCCGGGCAGGCCAGCCACGCTTGGAGGAGCCACTAGCAGGTGTGTGGCAGCCAGCAGAGGTCACCCAGGCCACTCCCCTGTCCCCAGGACACAGCCACACACACAGGCATTGTCCCCTACCCTCTCCCCCAGGAATGAAGTATAGCAATGAAGCACAGTGACTTGAAACCAGATTCCTGGGCCTGCCACTCACTAGTTCTGTGAGTTTAGCAAGCCACTTAGCATCTCTGTGCCTCGGTTTCCTCATCTGGAAATGGGAGGGCTGTGGGATTACTTGCCTCAGAGGGTAGATAAGAAGACCGGATGAGGTGCGCATGCACAGTGGAGAGAAGGGCCACTCTTGCACCCTAGCCGGCCTGTGGACCTCACCTCTGCCAGAGGGAGTGAGGACGGGTCAAACCCCTGTCAGCCCTGGGGGACCACCTCCCCTAGAAAGACCCCTGGCCTCACCCAGCCTGACATTCTCACTGCGGTCCGTGGGCCTGGTTCTGCTTGGGGTCAGGCCCTCTGAGGTGAGGACAAAGCCGGGGTCGAATCCAGGGCTGCTATTTACACCTCATTTGGAACTAGCAACTTAACCCCCCAGATCCTCAGTTTCCTCATCTGGACAAGAACCAGAGGCTCGGAGTAATTTAAAGAGTAAGGTATCCCTGCCCTTAGGACAGGACTGTGTCAAGAAATGCTCTTGACACATTCTGTGATAGGAAGCACCTTTCTCCCCTTGTGGAGGCCCGGCACCTCGTGGCAAAGCTTCCTGACTCCATTATCTCCAACCCCAGCCTCAGCACAGGAGGCTGCGACAGAGGCAGGGTGGGGGCATATTAGTCACCCCTCGAGCCACGGGTCCCCTGCAGCCTCCGTAGACCTCTGTTCCTTTCCCACCTACCTGTTACCTTTCCCAGTGCAGGGGCCATGCCACCGACACCTGACCATGGCTCCCCACGAGCCCTTAGAGAGTCAGGAAGCAGACAGGAAGGGCTACCTAGACACACGAATCACACACATACCCCAGACCGAGGACACCCCTGTGCGTCCCCACTGGCCCCACCCGGCTCCTCCCCCAGCTGCTAGGTCAGAGGGAGTCACCTTCCTGTGTTAAGTGAGACCCCACCCCACCCTAACACTTCCAAATACCCCGTGCCCCAGGTGAGGCAGGCCGCCAGCTAGGAGACCTAAAGACTGTCTGGAGTGGCCACAGTGGCGTCTCGGAGCAAGGAAGCAGTGTCTCCCACCAGACCTCAGCCTCTAGGACACAGGGAAGGTGGCAGACTCACCACTGCTGGCCCAGGGCAGGTACCAGGGGCAGCTGACGTTCACAAAGGAGCCCGGTGGGCCATCTGGCCAGCAGGCGTAGTCATCAAAGGTCCGGTTGCAGAACAGGCCTGTGGGCCAGGGAAGAGTCCTTGAGCGCCTGCCTGGCGTTTCTCCTTCCCTCTCCACCTGCCCTCCGCTCCGTGGAGCTGTACCCCACTGCCCTGACAAGGGCTTACTGTATGCCAAACACTTTCCTTCTCTGCAAGGCATCAATATCTCCTGCTAAGCTGCCCAGGCTGGGCTCAAACTTTTATTCCTCCTGCTTTGAGCTCCCAGAGTGCTGGGATTATAGGTGTGCGCCACCATACCCCGCTAATATGTATTCTTGGATCTGCTGGGCCATCAGTCCGTGCCCAGGTTGGGGTGGGCTGAGGAAGACACAAGGTGGAAAGGCCGGGTCCCTGTTCTGATAGGCTCCTGCTGGGGGTAGGAGGGACAAATAGCACCCCCCTCCCCAGGCTGACAAGGCAAGTGGGGAGGGGCCCAAGACCCCAGAGTCCTTGGGAAGGAAGTGCGTGGGCTGGACTGAGAGGATTTGGGCCGGGACGAAAGTGGGCGGAAGACGTTCAGGTGAGGGGACAGCTTGGCCCAGGGATTGAGGCACAGGCCAGGTGTGGTGTCCCAGACTGGAAACTGATGCCAACCATGCCCTCGGGGGCCACTGAAGCCTTTTGAGAGATGGCTGGGCCCTGCCTGGACTCACCTGTGGCCAGAGGCGGAGCCTCGGTCAGGTTGCGCTGGCACTGGCGTCGGTATTCTCGCCATTTCTGCACTGTCTCCGACAGGGACACAGTCGCACCCTGGGTGGAGGGAGGGGAGCAGAAGTGGGGCTTATGGGTCCAGCCAGCTTTTCTCCTGTCCTGTCACCCCCAATGCTCTGGACTGCTTGAGCTCCAGGAGGCCTCAGAGCCCAGACCTTACTGGACCAGTGCTCAGTAAGACCAATGTCACCTCTGAAAGGGGAGGGAACAAGTGGCTGTCACACTGGGGATCCAGGCGCAGCCTCTGGCCTCACCTCTCCCAGGGACTGTGCGCAACTTAATGGGTCATAGGAGCCCAGGAACTTGCTACAGAATGGATGTTTTTAGGGGGTTAGGGGACGAAGGGGAAGCCAGGAGTGTGTGACACATTCATAGTAGTGTCATCAGCCCTGGCTGAGGAAGAGAATGCCTGAGGGCCAGGGCTTGGTCACTTCCTGGAGCGCTTCTCCTCCCGCTGCCCAGTCAGCCCACTGGGGGCTGCTTGCACTTTCAACCTTTCTAGAATTCCTTCTAGAAAGAGGGCAGAGTGGGAGAGGGACTCCATGAAGGGCACTCAGCACCTCGGGAAGCAGAGGTGACTGGTGACTTGTGGTGGCATCTGGTGCAGCAGACAGAGCTGGGATGTCCACCCTTAGCACCCCTGCTGCAAATGCAAACACGGGTAGGTGAGCAACGGAACCCCTAGGCTTCCCTCTAACACGACACAGACTCAGGATTCAGCCAGCGCCTACAAAACCAGGAGCAGGAGTCCCAAGGACAGGGAGGAAGAGGTCAGGAAGGTTCCAGAACACTGACCTTACGTCTGCATGGGCAGGGATTTCCAGAAGGTCCAGAACTGGCTGCCGAGTGCACAGCCCCCCATACCCCTCCACCGAGAGGTCCCTTCTGCTAATTTCTGCACGCTGCCTTTGGTGACGTCTCAAGGATGTAGATTTTTTTTATTTTCCCAAATGACCTTAAACATTCCTCATGCAGAGGCTGCTGTTGCCGAAATGACCAGAGAGCCCCTTGTATACAATTTAGGGTGCATACATAATTTAAAACAAAAATTTACTTTTTGAAATCATAAACACGTACACGTGCACAGAAATTAAATCAGACTCTTTTCCGAAGCTCGCGCTCCTAACTCGCAAAGGCCCAAAGCACACACAGGACCTGGTTTCCGAGGAAGCCTGCCTGGGCCTGGGGTGAGGCAGGGTTTATGAGGCAGCTGTCCTTAGCCACCTAGGAAGCTCCAGAATGTGGGGGCGGGGGGGGGGACTTGCTCTGTGCCCCGCAGCACCCTTGAAATGAGTGAGATGCGGGAGTCTGCCTGGAGGACCCTCTTCCAAGCGCAAAGTTCAACATGTGTGTTGTATTTGGGGGAGAGGGAGGAAAAGAAATCAGTTATGCCAACCCGAGGCCACGTCATGGTCATGGCTCCAGCTGAGGGGGTGGCGCAGTGTACACTAGAGTCCTGGCACATGCGTCTCTGCGGGCTCCTTCCTCTCTCTTCTCCCCGCTGCCACCTGAGAGAGGTCTCTTCCCTCCCCTCAAGTGCAGCTGCTGGTGGTGAGCAGGCAGAGGTGGGCAGAGAGCCCCTCCGTGTGTTTGTTTTCAGTAGGAAAACTGGCAGGAGGCAAGGCCACAGCTGGGAACGGGCAGCAGGTGTGGCTGGGCAGGAGGGAGGCAGGAGGCCCGGGAGCTCCACGCCCAGGGTTGGCACCTCCAAGGTCAGCCTGGCCCCCGAAGTCCAGGGAACTTCAGAGGTCGCCAACTCTGAGCGGTGAGGAAGGAACCTGCAGGGGGCCTGGGGCTTCCGGAGGATGAGGCCAGGGCCCCCTGGGTGGGAGGGGAGGCTGCCTCACAACAGGACTGGCCCTAGGAATGATCACTCTCAGCCTCAGCCCCAAACCTCGGTCTGCACGCAGGCCGGCAGCAGAACCGCCTGGATCTCTGCCCTCTAGGACCCCCGAGGAGCCGGGTTCTGGGCTGCAGCAGTGGGGCGGGTGCAGAGCTGAACTGAGGCTGCTGGGTGTCCAGGCGCAAATGCTTGCCCTGCCGGGAAACGGGGTAGCTGAGAAGCAGAGCCTTGGGAAGTGGCAGGAGCAGGTAGGCACAGAACACGGCCACGTGGGGACAGGAGGAGAACGGAGGGACAGCTGGATCTGGGCCGAGGCGGGGCGAGAGAAGAGAGGCTGGAGGCCGCCTGGGCGTCCAGGTGGCGTGGTGGTGGGTGAAGAGCTCCAGCTTTGAGCTCAGATCCGGGCGTGGTCCTGGGACTCCCCGTAGATGAGGCAAGCGTGCCGGTCTGCAAGTTAACGTCCAGCTTGAGCTTACCCACTGAGGATGGGAACAACAGGCGCCGGCCCTCAGGACCAGGTTCCCCGGCAGGCAGCTCTTAAGGTCTCTGATTCTTAGGGGACAGGGCAGGGTAGAAGGAACAGGAGGCCTGCCTTCCTGACTTTGGGGCCCCATCTCTTCCCCCTTTACTTCTGTAGAAGGAAGAACCTGATACATTTCCATGGCCCAGGACTGAGCATCCTGCTGAATCTGTGGCGGCCTCCAGCGGCAACTCCAGCTGGCGGCAAAGGGAAGTAGGGGGAGGCACGGGGCCCCCAGCCTGAAAGGAGCAGGGGTGTCTGTCTCGGTGTCCTTGCCAGGCCCAGACACGGCCCCAGACTGAGGGAAAGCCGGCAGCTTTTAGAACGGGGCCTTTCAGGCTCCTGGGATGGCTCTGGAAAGAAGGCAAGCAGGGACGCTGCACGGGTTCCAGGTGGCAACAAGGAGGGTCACCCCTCTGATTCAGGAGTCTGAGGTGTGGCCTGCAGAGAGGGACACGGACAGAGAGTCACAGGGCTTTGTTTCTGTCCCACCTCTGCCCATTAATGGGGGCACATTCGATCCTTGGGGGCTCAGTTTCCTGGTCAGTGGGCATGGTACTCTTCTCGGACACAGTGGATGAGGAGGTGACTCGCCAAGCTTTGCACAGCCGGCAGTGGTGGAAGGAGGGAGGGAGAGGAAGCTCGCGAAGCAGTGGGCTCTCCACCACCGGAAGGCACTCCCTCTCCAAGACCTGGCCCCAACGGGAAAAGGGCTTTTGATTTGTCAGTGTGAATACCACTACCAGATTCTTTCCTTTTCTGGAAACCACTGGGGTAAAGAGGAAGGAGACCTTGGTCTCTTTGGGCACCAAGGAAGGAGAAGACAGGAAGAGACGGCCTCTCAGAAGGAGCAAAGGGGGCTCGGAATACACATTTCCAGAGGCCCCCAGCTCGGTCCAGCCCCTTGGACTCCCAGGTCTCCTCCCAGGACCGCCTCCCTACCACCTCCTGGATCCCCAATCCTTCCTCTGCCTCTATGCGCTGCAGTGCAGCTACAAGGTCGCTCTTTCCCCTACTTTTTCTTGCTATGGGCTGTAGGGACCCCGCTATGGACAGGGGAAGGTCGACTATACACACTTCCTCACAGGTGCAGGGACCTTACACTGTCACACGTGCTTAAAGACATTTCCAAGGGTGAGACCTTGACCCAGAGCCTCTTCATGCAGTCACACACACACTGCCAGGCACACACATGGTGCTCCCAACAAACATGTATACAATCCAAAGCCTTGACTTGACCCACTTGACCCACACATACATTGTGACGGGCATACCATCTCTCTCTGACACGGACACAGACCAGCAGACATCCGTTCACTCTCCAGGATCACACACACACACACACACACACACACACACACACACACACACACACTCAGATGTTTCCATAGACACCGTCTCTCACATAGGCACACACACACACACACACACACACACACACACCGCTGCTGGACACACAACTTCACAGTGAGATGTTGTTGCACACAGAGCAACTCCCATCCGGGCAATGTCACGTACAAACATATGGAGAAACAGGGGCTCACACAGCTCGCACCCTTCTCCCCCATCTGTCTGTCTCTGTCGCAGGTCTGTCGCTCGCACACAGCAATTTCTAGGGGCAGCTGCAGCAGAGCAAGGACCTGTATTTCCTCAGCACAAGGCATTCAAGGGCAGGATGTGGTTTTTTGGGTGCTCCTGCCTGGTCTCGAAGCTGGGACTGTGTCCAGAGCGAGCTCAGCTCAGCATGAAGTCCCCACTAACCAAGGCACAGCCCCTGACTTGTCCGGCACGCTATTCAGCAGTTCCTGGTCCCCGAGGACAAGCAGTGCCTCCCCCAGGTGACTAGAGCTGCCATTTCAGGCGCTAGCACCTCGGTGCTCTCTGAGACATCACTTGATAAAGTCCTATTTGCAGACGAGGAAACTGAGGCTCAGGGTGGTCAAGCGCCTGACCGAAGATCGCCAGGAAATAGCAGATATTTGAACTCAGGTCTGTCTGGCTTTAACTCTGGGTGACAAAGCCTACCTGCTGCCTGTTTCCTTAGGAGGCCAGCTCCTTCCTGGGTAGTGCTGGGGTCTCAGGAGCAAGCAGGGTAGTGTTCCATCCCAGGAACAAGGACAGAGTGGCCCAGGTCACCTTTTTTAGAAGTCAATGTGACCATTCCCCGTCCTGCAGGGAAGCAGTTTCAGGCCTCCCCAGACTCCAGAGGGGAGGTCATGGGCCCAGCCCAGCCCCACACACGTTATCTTTTCTTCTACTGCTGGTCCACCTCATACAGAGAACTCTCTACCTGAGCTTTTGTTCCCCCAAATTGACAGAAGTAACTCTATTCCTGTTGGCCTCATTGAAAATAAAATGCAGAATTCTTTTTTTGAGTGCTGGATCTGCATGTGTGAGGTTTTGTCACAATTACTGCAGTCTAACTCAAAGCCACTGTCACGTCCCTGCAGAGGCTGGGGTGCGGGTGCTCCACAGCAAGAGCACCGCTACCCCAAAGCTCCACGCTCTCCACTCAGTGCCCGGCACCTCCTGTCCTTCTCTGCCACCCTGGTGCTCTTGTGGCCTGGGACTGAGGAAGGAAGGAGACCAGAGGAAAGGGCAGGTTCAAGGAGCCTGACGCCTCTGGGACCAGAGGTCCAGGGGAGAAGACAAGCAGCCCGCAGTGCAGTCTCAGGTCTCTCTGCTCTGTGATGGGCCTGCAGCAGCAGCGCTTGGGAGTGAGTCTGCAGTCATGGTTCCATACAGAACTCAAGTTCACCAGGAAAGCCCAGGCCTGGCTGGGGTCACGAGAAAGGGGACGTAGGATGGAGGAGGGTGTCACCAGGGACCAGGGACAGTTGCTGGCACTGGGGAACCAGGAAAGAGAAGGGATGAGTCTGGGAAAGGATTTGGGGGCTGAAAAGGTACAGGCACCTTAGCTGAGGGGCACATCTGCCACTGCTGGTTCTCATGCAGTGCGTGGCGTTTGCCTCCACCCTGGCCTGTTAATCGTTCTAGGGCACATTATGAGCCTATGCAGGCTCATCTCTCCAATTCTTAGTTCTTTCAGTCTGGGGGTAAGAGCCGGAAGTGGTGGGAAAAGTGTTCCCCAATGTAACACGGATGCCTGAGCCTGTCCTCTGCTCTGCCCAAGCATGTCCCAGCATCTTTGCCACTGCAGGGTCCCTGGGGCGATGAGTCAAAGGCTGCACCTAGCGGGTGGCAGGGAGGCTGTCCCAGAGCAGCTGACCACCTTCCTCAGGCCAGGAACCTGGGCATGGGGGTGGGGAGGAAAGCTAGGGAAAGCCAGAGAGGAGCACTGCAAGGCGCCACCTGCCACCTGCTCTCTGGTGTTATCAAGGAGATCAGGCCGTCCCAAGAGGGGGTCTGGCATGGGCTGTCAACTAGGGGCCCCAGGATGGGTGGGCAGGGTGCTTGAGGGGGTCCTGGCCGCTTCCGCACAGAGCCTCGGCTCAGCTTCCCGCATGTCTGCTGCAGGGCATGGGGGAGGAGGTGGCACTCAAGTTCCATCTGGGAGGTCACAGAGGAAGGACAACAAGCTGCCACTGCAGGGTCCCTGGGGCGATGAGTCAAAGGCTGCACCTAGGGGGTGGCAGGGAGGCCGGGGCTCCACCCGGGGCTCTCCCAGCGCTCCTGGCCTCTCAGCGGCGGCGTTTGGAGGATGGAGCCCGGCTGGGGGGAAATCGCAGGTCAGGGGTCCTTGGTCCGGGCTGTGACAGGGCGACTGGCATGGCTTTTAGAAGCCCTGGAGTTGGGAAAGTGGTTTGGGGAAGGGCAGCGAGAGACGCAGCGAAGTCGGCGCGGGGCGCCCCGGGCAGCTGGCGCCCAACAGAGGGGTCCTGGCGGTGGGAAGTGGGGCCTGGCCCGGGCGGGGAGCCGCCCCCGCGCCATCCACCTGGGCCACCAACTCTGTGGTGCCCCTCGGTGCCCAGGCCCGCGGTGTCCTCGCCCGCGGTGGCGGAGTTGCGCTCAAGTCCGGGCCGGGCCAGGATCCCGCGCCCGCGGCGCTCCCTCCCGGTCCCCGCGGGTCCCCGGCTCACCTGGGGGCGGGGTCCGGCCCTGCCCACCGCCCCGAGCAGCAGGAGCGCCAGGCGCAGCGGGCTGGG